TAACCTTATCAATGTAAAATGTGCTTAATAAGAGAAAAGTCATTTTTTAAACGCCAAGACTGAAGTTGCCAATATGATATGTAGTGTATTTGACTTGGGGTGATCACATAAGAGATGGTGGAAACTAAACAGAATATGTGGAAAAACAGTAGACACCAAATTCAGAGATAGATGAAGCTGTCAATACTCTGAGTTCCCTCATTAGGAAAAAGATCACCTTCATGGCAGAATCACAGTAAGGGAAGTTTTACCAATATGCTTACAGAACTCAAAATTCAAATAATGCTTGGGTCCAAAGAAACCAGCCAGCAGGTCAATACAGCTTACTATTCTGAGAAAGCTGACTTTGGGTTCTGCACTAAAGAAGTGGCTTCAGTTCAAAGGGCTGTTATAAGCATGCATACTAAATGCTGGTCAAGATCAGAGAAGCTAATCTCCACCAAGAGCTAATGTCAATAGCTCTACCAAGAGATCTTATGGACCTGGCCATGGAAATGACCCTTGTCTAAGAAATACTCTCTCCATGGTATGGAAATTCTACCAGCAAACTGCTATCTAGCATCTCTAGGGTATTACACTAAAATTTACACCCACACTTGAGCAGATAATGCCAGAACACTTGAAGACAGAAGCAAACACCTAAGGGACTTGTTGTACACTTCTTAAGCTCGTGTCCTACCCACTTTTCAGGTAAACAAATATCCAGATAATTTGTCTCAAATGGACCTCATACTCCTAAAAGAGGTGTTGACTGTTCAATTTCAAATGTCCCCCCGTTTTTCTTTTCTTTTTTGGGGGGGTTGGGCAGTGGGGGTTAAGTGACTTGTCCAGGATCACATAGCTATTAAGTGTTATGTGTCTGAGGCCAAATTAGAACTCAGGTCCTCCTGACTCCTGCGCCAGTGCTCTAGTCACGTAGCCAACCTTCCCCCCATTTTTCAATAGCACTTCAGATCAATTCTGCCCTTCTGATTTAACACTTTGCTCATTCTGCCATAAGGATGATCAATACCAGGTAGAGGTCTTAATACACAACAGTATAAATAAATGGTCACACTTCTATCTATACTTATGTCTTTTCAAAACTCATATTGTGATACTCGAGACATGCTACAATTAATTGTAAAAACATTTCCTGCCCAAATGCCATTCCTGAAATCCGCCACACTTCAACATTTCACACAGCTTTACAACCTCTGCAAATATATCACTACATCTCCCATCCCTTCCAAGCCTTTCCCACCCAGGGCTGTTATTTGCCAGTGTCTTTCCATGCAACCTCCTTTCAGAACCTATCCAATGCGATGGTTCCCTCTGGTTCTTTTTTCATGGTTACCAGGGCAGAACTTCCTGTTATTTCCTCACTCACTACAAATGGCCCACCAATCAATCCCAACTCATGAAGTCTGTCATAGATTTAGCAATTTGTCATTCAAAGGTCTTATTAAAGTTCGGCAAAAGATTTAGCTAATCCAGGTGAAAAAGAACCAATAATATCTAATATTACCATATAAATGGAGATATTTCTGTAAAGTATCCATAAACTAAGACTAGGATCCCTTCAAATAGGCCATTTTTTGCCTCTAAAGACTATGGAGAATGCAAACCGCAGTTTTATTACAACATCTAAAATATTGATGTTTCTAGATGATCTGGGGAGTCTAGCCAGGTAGGTGTTTCAAGAAAGACAAGTAATCAAACCAAAAAGTCATTATTTAGATGAAATGAACTTATGTATATGGCTCCAGAGGGCAAAATTAAGACTGCTGGGTAAAATAGATAGGTTTCAGCTCAATGATAAAGAAGCTACTTCCTAAGGATGAGCACCACAACAATGAAATGGGCAGTGGTAATGAACTCCCTTTTGCTGCAGCTATTAGATAGATGACTATTTGATGGGAATGCCACAGAGGGCGCTCTTGCCTGAAGCACAGTTTGAGCACCAGGACCACCGGGATCACTTCTAAGAACATCTCGAGTTTTTTGCTCTAAAGGAGCTCTGTTATCTGAGAAAGGCAGCAATTCAGACAGATGGCAAAAAGTCTACTGCCCTGTAGAGCCAAACACATAAAAGTAGCCGAAAGTTCATTAACTGCTCCTAGAAAGTGTTACGTGCTGTTTAACCCATCAAATGAGAGGCTTTGCAGTAAACTACTACTGAGAGCAACAATGGAACTAGTCACTAAAGAGAGACACAGATAAGGAGCGGACATTTTTGTGGAGGTCTGAGGTCCTTGCTACTTACAGTCTCATCTCTGAAGGATGCGAGTCATCATCTTCTCCCATAATAATGATTCCTTTCAGTTTAACGTTACCTGTAAACCTGCCCAAACACAGAACACAAGCAGGAAGTCAGAAAGCTGGAGGGGCATCTTAGGTCGGCTACTTACTGTCTATATATGACCTTGGTCATCATTTCCCCTCTGTGGGCCTTAGCTCCCTCCTTTGTAAAATGAGCGGGTTGGACTAGATGGTCTCTAAGGTTCCTTCTAGGGGGCAGCTAGGTGGCGCAGTGAATACAAATCCAGCCTCAGACCAAACACTTGACACTTACTAGCTGTGTGACCCTGGGCAAGTCACTTAACCCCAACTCCCTAAAAATGAAAAAATAAAAAAAAATAAGGTTCCTTCTACATTTGATGATTCTAAAAACATTCACCTGAACTTTATCTCCTTCACTGTGAAAGGATAATTCCCTAACAGTACAGTGCCACAGAAGGAACACCAGAGTAGGAGTCAGAAGATTTAGGTACAGGGTTTTTTTAATTGTTTGAGCCTAAATTTTCCCAGACTTTAAATGGGGATAAATAATACTTCTATTACCCTACCTCACAGGTAGTTTGTGAGGCTTGAATGAAGATGTAACACTTTATAAGTGTGAATTATTATCACCTCCAAGGAAAGCAATCATCCTCCCCACCCCTTTCCAAAATAGCTAGTATACTGAGCAAAGAAGCCACCTGGCAAGCTGACTGTACCTGCTGCTTATTAAGATGAGGAAGCCTAAGACACCTATTAGAAGGGTACTCACGGAATATTAAACAGCAACTCTTCATCAGCATCACTTTCTACAAACTGGGAAAAAACAACAACCCACAGATCATTAACACCTCTGGGTGTTCAGTTCTTTTCTGAAAGTCAAATCTAATGCACAGTTTCTTGCTTGCACACGCCTTGCTGCATGTATCTGTGGGCCCCTGACACAATGTGCAGTTTGTTTCCATATGCCTCAATTTGAAGAGGCATGGCCTAGACTTCACTAGTGTTGTGTCTAAGGGGTTCCAGATTAAATCTAGAGCTCCACCCTGGCTTTCCAGTTCTGCTGGGCCTGATAATTCAGCCATCAGGAAAATCAGAAATGATAATGAACTATAAAATTAAAAGTGAAGGATGCTGCTTTGGAAATCACAACACGCACATGAGAAGAATTGAGGTAAAGCTGAAAAAGCACCAGTGCAGGAGCCCAGAGATTCAGGTATGTTATCACTAGCCAAGTTACCTGGGCAAATCATTTCTCCTCCAATTTTCCCAACTGTAAAATGGGGATAAACCTCCAGGCACTGCACCACACTTCCTCCTTGAGGATAGTAGGAATAGAGCGCTATATAAAATGTGGAAGCAACAACAATGTGATGGAAAGAAACCTTGAGCCTGGCATCACAAGTCCAAGTCATGAGGACTGCACTGGTATTTTATATCAACATTGAATTTAGGCCACTGGTATCCCCAGTCCGATCCTCAGTTTACTTTCCTGCAAAATGCAGCAATAAACCTTTTACTACCCACCTAACAGAGCTGCAGTGAGGGACCAGATGAGGGATTTCCAGAAAAACATTTTCTGTAAGCCCGGTAAGGGCTGTGGAAATGATAATGGTGGGTGGTGATTGTTATGATGTCCAAGAGTGCTAGGCTAGTGGGGCGGAATGAGCACTGGACTTGGCGTCACTAGCTGTGATCCTGAGCAAATCCTCCCTCCCTCTCCAGTTTCCCTTTTTTTTTTAAAAGGCAAGGGAGGGGCTTGATCAGAGGACTCCAAATTTCCCTTCCTCATCAGGCATTCCGCTAAATCATCAGCATTTCTGTACAATGGGAATAATCCTGGTCTCTCTCTCCCTCCTTCACAGAGCCTGCTGCCCCTCCCAGCACAAAATAAACACCGAGGACGCTGTTATCAGCCGCTGGCATCAGGCGGGTTGGACCAGACCATCAGAGCTCCCTTTCCAGATCCGAAATGCTCAAGGGGAGCACAAAGCGCTCACCACCAGGGCCTGGAGCCTGGGGGTGACAAGGGGGGGGGCCGCCGGGGTCCTGGGAGTGCGCGCCTCCGCCCCTGCCCCCTCTCCTTCCCACGCGGGCTCTTAGGCCGGCCCAGGAGTACCCCAGGGCGCCCCGCCCGCCCGCAAACCCTCGAGGCCCCCAGCAGCGCCCCCCCCAAGCGCAGCCCGCGTCCCCGGGGGTCTCGAGGGTCGGGGGTGGCCGCAGGCCCAGGCTCGGGCCCCACCTTGGTGCGGTCGGCCCGCTCCTCCCACGGCTTGAAGACGCCGCGGCCGCTGCCCTCGCGGCTCTCGTTGAGGCACTGCAGGCGCTCCAGGTCGATGCGCAGGTAGAGCCCGTAGGCCAGGCCGCGCTGCTCCGGCGGCTCCTCGTGCTCCGCGGCGCAGCGGCAGCCGCCGCCCCCGCCGTGGCTGTGCCCGTGCGACATGTCGCCGGTCCAGGCCCCGCTGCAGCCCGTGCCTAGGCCCTGCTCCGGCCCCGCTACACACCCACACCGCGGCACAGTGACGCCGCCGCGCCGCGCGCACCTGTCGTAAAGCACGCCCCGGCCACGCCCCCTCCCGGCCCCTTCCCTGCGCGCATGCGCATAGTACCTCCATGGCGGCCCCGCAGAGCCGAGCTAAGCCACGCCTTTCTGCCGTAGAGTGCGCCGCTCCCCTCCCCGCCCTCTTTCTAGCGGCGCATGCTCAGAGTCCCCTCCGGACCTGGCTCCAGAGGCTCTGTAATCGCGGGAATTTGATTTCCCGGGACTCCTCCCTTGAGGACGAAGGCTCATGCGCGGCGATCTCAGCTCCTCCCTTGCGTGGGGAGGGATCTGCAAGGAGAATCTTAGGGCTGGACGGAGACTATAAAAATCTAGACTGTCCCAACCTCGCTGCGCCGCCTTCAGGTTTGCCGGGTGCTTTCCCAGCCGCTACCCCGAGAGTGCCCATCCGACACATGGGTAAACTGAGGCCCAGGAGTCAGAGGAGAGGCCTGCGTAAGAACGGATGGCCGAATTACCGCTGCCGTTTCCTGGGCACCCTCGGGGCTGAGGAGCGCCCTGCACGCGCTCCCGATCATCCTGCGAAGGCAATGACTGTCACGCCTGTTACACATAGGTGGAAAGTGACCCTTTGCACTCATTTCACCACCCTGCCTCCCTCTGACCCTTTGCACTCCAGCATCCTGGCTCCTAAGGAGTCTCATCGCTCGGGTTCGTTGCCAGGAGTTGGTTCTTCACCTGGGGCCCGGGGACTTGTCTTTAAAATGTGCTGATGCCCGCTTCTCAGTGCAATTGCTTTCCTTTGTAATCCTGGGGGGTTTATTTTTTATGTATTTTATGCACACTTACTTCCTCTTTGAGGATAGTATGAATAGAGCGCTATATAGAATGTAGAAGTAACAATAATGGGATAGAAAGAAACCTTGAACTTGGCATCAGAAGTCCTCTGGGAAGGGCCCTATAGCTTCCCCAGACCCTTGTGCCAGGCACAGGTGGAATGCCTTGGGAGTACAGATGCTGGCAGGAAGACAGCCTCTGCCCTCCCAGAGCTTCCTCAGTGGGGGAAGACCACGCAAAAGGGGGACAGCTAGGTGGCAAAGTGAATAGAGCACCGGCCCTGGAGTCTGGGGACCTGAGTTCAAATCTTGCCTCAAACCAGACACTTGACACTTGCCAGCTGTGTGACCTTGGGCAAGTCACTTAACCCCAATTGCCTAAAAAAAAAAAGTCATGGTATAAGGACAAAGCAATAAAGTGATTTGCTAAGGGTCACAGATCCTGAGCTTGGACCCCGGTACCCCAGCTCCCAGTCCAATGCCCTGATGCCATGGCTGAATGAAAGCCAGGCTCCAAGATACAGGGAGGAGCCGGATGTGAGGAGCAGAAATCACCAGCAGTACTGAGTGTCTCCAGAGCCCAGAATGCTGATCTGGGCCCTGCTGAGGCCGTGGCAGTGAAGAGGGTCCTTCTGGCCTCTGCAAGCTGCCGACACAGGGGTCAGAGCTGCACGCTGTGCCTTACTGGTTCATTGCGTGATCTTCCAGGGTTGGGGATCTCCTTCATAAAAGGATTTGTTCTGTAAAACTTGGACTCAGCCAAAAGGTGGCACCCAAGGACTTAGAAGGCCACATGTGGCCTGGAGGCTGAAGGCTTCCCACCCCTGCAGGCCATTTACTTGCTCTCTGTTTGCCACAGATTCCCCATATGTAACATGCAAGTTTGGACTTGGTTTCTAAGTCTGTCCTTCTGTGTTCTACAGGCCCTCCCGATGCTGACCCGTGTTCTAAGGGTTCTCGCGGCTGTGACCCTGTACAAGTCTTGTGATCATGCAGCCAAACAGGATTGTTGTAAGGACAGCACTTTGCAAATTGCCAGGTTCTCTGGAAATGCTAAGGCTGTAAAATGGGGATAATAACAGCTTCCACCTTTGGGGGTCATTGAGAGGAGCAAATGAGGTGATGTCATGTCAAGCACTTGACAAACTTGAATTTATTATCTAAATACATTTAGCCGTTATTTTAGCTGGCTGTTATTGCCGTGAGCCTGACCTCTGGGTTTGCAGAAGAGGATCTGGGTGGTTTAGGGGAAGGGCCCCACTGCAGGACAGAAACCGTTTGGTATGAGCTGCCCTGGTCAGCCATGGACTAGAAGATTCCTCTCTAAAAGCAGGAGAGAGACCACTGGCCTGGGAGGACAAAGGTGAACCAGGCCAGTCAAACTCAGGCCCTGCCGTAACTACTTGTCCCACCGTCCAGGAGTTTCTCGGCTTTTCTCTCTCACTGTCTTTTCTCCATTCCTATTTTCTAGCAATGAGTGAGGAGGAATGAGAAGATGATGGAGAAGTTCAGGGCAGTCCCAGGATTCCTGCATCAATTTGGGTTCAGGTAACAAAACCTTTCCCCCACTTCAGGTCTCTCTTTGAACATTTTCTCATCACACTCAAAGAGCAGGGCCCTTCAGGCTCACTGAGAAAACTGGTTTTGTTTCACTTGAGAGGCTTTTATTCCCCAAAGCTTAACACAGTATGGGGCCACATAGTAAGCTCTTAACAAATGTTTGTTGACTGACTGACTGATATAGATAGGTAGGTAGGTAGCTAGCTAGATAGATATGTATAGTATTTGTATGTGTTTATATGTATATGTATTTTTCATTTTTTATATTTTTATAAAATATTTATAAATGCTATTAAAATATTTCTTTTTCTTTTTCTTTCTTTTTTTTTTTAAAGGCAATTGGGGTTAAGTAACTTGTCCAGGGTCACATAGCTAGTAAGTGTCAAGTGTTTGGTCTGACTTCGTATTTGAACTCAAGTCTTCCTGACTTCAGGGCTGGTGCTCTATCCACTGCGCCACCTAGCTGTCCCCTAAAATATTTATTTTAAAATTTTTTTCTGTTACCCAGTTTGATTGCAGGGTGGTGAATTTCTGAGCCATATCTACTCAAAGATTTTCTCTACCCAATTGCAAGACTTTAACTTTATCCCTATGGAATTACTAGCTTCATCCCATTTATTTAGCGTATGTGATCCTCTTGAACCCTGATTGGATCATTCAGTGCATGAGCCATTCCCACCAGCCTCCCATGGTGTAGAGCTCTGACCAGCAGCCATCCATCCTCTTGATGTCAAAACTTGGATCATTTGAGGCTGTGGATTTTCATAGCTGGCATTTATGTAGGGTTTTAAGGTTTGCTATGCACTTTATGTATATTGTCTCATTTGACCCATAATCCCAAGAGATAGAATTTTACTACTGGATCTTTTTTTTTTATTTATCTCCTCTGAACTCCTGGGTTTCTTAACTGATGTTTTTCTTCCTTCTCTGTAGCATCTCTCTGTGGTGTTTAGTGGAGATAGATAGATAGATAGATAGATAGATGGATAAATAGATACAGACAGACAGAGATAGATGGATGGATAGAGACAGCTAGATAGATGACAGATAGTGGATAAATAGATAGATACAGACAGACAGATGGATAGAGACAGAGATAGATGATAGGTAAAGATAGATGGATAAGTAGAAAGAGACAGATGGATGGATGGATAGATAAATAGATGATAGAGATAGATAGAGACAGGTAGATACAGACAGACGGATGGATGGATGGATGGATGCAGTCTTTTGCCTCCCCTATCCTTTTTAGTTTAAAGTGCTTTTGATTAGATCCACAAGAAATCTGGCAGATACGTTCTTGCCAACCTTTATTAGTTATATTCATTCTAATTCTGCCCAGGAATCTGTCATCCCTCCTTTGAGCTGTGGTCCAAATGTGCAATCCCATTCTCAGATGCCCCCTTCTTGTGTCCCAAATCAAAGTATCTCATCTGTATCCCTTGCCAACCTGGGCTGACGACATCTTCAGTGTTTTGCCAAAGACTTTAATAATCTTTAGAGGGGCAGCCAGGTGGCATAGTGGCTAGACCACCGGCCCAGTAGTCAGGAGGACCTGAGTTCAAATCCAGCCCCAGACACATAACACTCACTAGCTGTGTGGCTCTGGGCAAGTCACTTAACCCCAATTGTCTCACGTAAAATAATAATAGTACAATCTTTAGAAATATTTTTAGGTCCCTTCTCACAGCATCACCTTTCCACAGGACTAGCATAAATTGTTAGTAGTTGTCTGTCACCTGTTTCTGTCTGGCTAGTAGACGTGAGCTTTGAAGGGAGAGTGTAGAGCCCAGGCCTCGAAATCTGCTTTCAGTTCTTCTGAGATCTAAGTCTCAACCTCCTGAGAGAGCTGTTATTACATTATTATGCTAATTATAAGTTGTTGATGTTTGGCCGGTTTTTCAGTCATGTCTGACTCTTTGTGACCCCATTTGGGGTTTTCTCGGCTGAGATACTAGAATGGTTTGTCTTTTTCTTCTCCAGCTCATTTTACAGATGAGGAAACTGAGGCAAACAGGAATAAGTGATTTGCCCAGGGTCACACAGCTCGTGTCGGAGGTCAGATTTGAACTCAGGTCTTCCTGATTCTGGGCTCATTGCTCTTTGCACTGCACCACCCAACAGTAGGTACCAATAAAACTTTAAAAATTAAAATATTAACACAGGAAAAAAGAGCACTGAAAGTGAAACTAGAGGACACAAGAGGGCAAATTTAGCCCATGCTGGCCACCCATTCCTCCGCAGCCTGATGAACACCAAGTGTACATTTCATTTAGCTTGGCATATAAAATAGCCAAGTCTTTGATCCTTACGATTCCGTGAGGTAGGTCCTGGTAAGATTGCCTCTGTCCAGTGAGGAACGTGAGGCCCTAGAAGCTGGCGTGGCAGAGTCCCCCAGCTGCAGGCCTGAACCCCAGGGCTGCCTCTCCAAGGCTCGGGGAGCAGAGGTGATGGTCTGGAGGGAGTAGAAATGGCAGGATTGCCAACTCACAGGACGTGGGGCCAGGTGGGGGACCTGCAGTCTCGAGGCCACATGTGGCCTCTAGGTCCTCCGGTGCAGCCTTTCACTGAGTCCAGGTTCTGTAGAACAAATCCTTTTATTAAGGGGATTTGTTTTGTAAAGTTTGGATTCAAAGGGCTGCACTTGAGGACCTAGAGGGCCATAGGTTCCCCACCCCTGCACAGGCCAAGGTGATCCCAGGGTCATAAGACACGAGTTACTGGGGGATTCCAGCTCCATCTGCAGAAAGGGAGAGGTCAAGTGTGAAGGGACAGGTCTGGGTATACGATGAACTGCCAAGGAGAGCTCAGGAAGGATGAACAAGAAGCCTGCCGCCGTCCTGGGACCGTAGTGTGAGCAGCACTCGGGCTCAGGAGGAGTCAGCAATCCCTCTGTCCTCTGTGTGGCTCAGACCAGACCCGGGGGCCCAGGCTTTCACGCGTGTGGCTGCTCCCCTCCTCGCACCCCCTGATCCGGATCCCAACCGCTTCATCCCTTAGCTGACACATGATGGCGGCTCAAAAGCGTACCCCTCATTTCCAGGCCTCTTGGTGCCAGCCCTTGGTCCTTGGGCGACAAACACACCCATTTCTTACAGACCCATGCATAATTTTATAGGAGGCAAAGCTGTGACTAGGCTGGGGTGACTGGGACTTTGTCCAGGACACTAAAATTCCTTCAGCAAGAAGAATCATCTGGGGGCAGCTAGGTGGCACAGAGGATAGAGCACCGACCCTGGAGTTAGGAGGACCTGAGGTCAAATCTGGCCTCCGACACTTGACACTTACTAGCTCTGTGACCCTGGGCAAGTCACTTAACCCATTGCCTAGCAAAAAATAAACAAACAAAAAAAAAAGAATCATTTGAACATAGCATCTAGTTAGTAAGAATAATTAGTTAAATCTCTTGGATCCAGAGGAAAAAGGACGAAATAGGCATCTTCCTTTCATTAGAGAGGTGGGGGTCTGTGGGTGGGGAACGTTGCATACTCTGTCAAGCATGGCTTCTTTGTTGATCAGTTTTGCTTAACTGCTTAGTTAAAATGGAGGTTTCATTTGTGGGGTGACATTCAGAAAAGACTGGTGTGTTTTCATATATGTAGATATATAGATATATAGATATATACACACACACACACACACACACACACGCACACACACACATATATGTATATATTTATTTATATGTCATCAATTACAGCGAAAGGCTTAATTTGTTCAAACAGGAAGCTCTCCCAGGAGCACAGCAGGTGAGCTCCTCTGGCCCTAACCCGGCCCTGCTCCTTCCCCTTGTGGAAGTCTCCCAGCATCAGCTTCACAACAGAGATCTCTGCCCATGTGGTCCTGGGGTCTCTGTGTCCTCTATCCGCTACCCAAGTCTCTCTGGCTTCCACAAATAAATAATAATGCTGATTTGAAAGTATCTTTTATGCTGCTTGGCCTGACCTGTCCACTGTTCCTGGGTCCAGCCCAGAGCTGCACCTCGGCAGGAAGGAGCTTGAGTGCTTCTGGCGTAACCTTGGCAAACCCATGGCCACCCGTGTGCATGGTGAGACATCAGAAGAAGATGTCAGTGCGGGGTCGCAAAGTTAATCTTAAAAAAAAAAGTCAGAGCTATAAGAAATGATGAACAGGCAGATTTCAGAAAAACCTGGAAAGACTTGTGTGGACTGATGCTGAGTGAAGTGAGCGGGACCAGGAGAACGTCGTACACAGTAACAGCAGCACTGTGCGATGACTAATATTGATAGACTTAACTCTTCCCAGCAATACAAGGTTCTAAGACATCTCCAGAGGCCTCATGATGGAAAATGCTATCCACATACGAAGAAAGAACCATGGAGTTTGAATGCAGATCGAAGCAGACTATCTGCTATTTTTTTGTTCTGTTGTGTTTTGTTTCCTCTTTCTTGTGATTCCTCCTATTGGTTATAATTCTTCCTTACAACATGACTAATGTGAAACTATGTTTAATAGGAATGTATATGTAGAGTCTATATCCGAGTGCACGTTGTCTTAGGGAGGGAAGAGGGAGAAAAAATTTAAAACTGAATTCTAGATATGATATCCGCACCTAATTTTTCTTGGCTGACCTCAGCAAGCACTTCCGCTCTCTGAAACTCAGTGTCCTCATTCAAAAGGTCAGTAGGCTGACTAGAGAGCTGGAAGGGCCCTTGTGGACCATCTAGTCCAAGCCTGTTATTTCACAAATGAAGAAACCAGGGCCCAGTGGGATTAAATGATTTGCCGGAGCTCACCTGGAGTGTGAATAATCAGAGGCTGGTTCTGAATGTAGGTGCTCTGACAGGATTGTATCAAATGAGATCATGGATGCGAAATACTTCAGAAACTGAGCGATTGTCGGTGTTATTGCTAGACCTGTATTAAATGCATACATGCAGCATTCAGCTGGATAGCAATACTGGATTTTCCATCACGCTGTAAGATTTGTGACCGTATCACATGAGCCTCTCAGTGATACAGTGAGGCAAATGATGCAGATGTACCACCCTCAATTTAAAAATGAGGAGACCAAGCCTGAGAGATTCTAATAATACAGGACAAAATGGGATTTTTTCCCCAAAAATATTTAGTTATTTATTTTACATTTTCAGCATTTACTTCCATAAGATTTTGAGTTCTAAATTTTCTCCCTTTCTCTCCTCTCTCCCTCCCCCCTAAGATGGCATGCAATCTGACGTAGGCTATACATATATATTCATATTAAACATATTTTCACAGTCATGTTGTAAAAAAGAATTAGAACCAATGGGAGAAACCACAAGAAAGAATAAACAAAAAAAAAAAGAGAGAGAGCAAATAGTATGCTTGGATCTACATTCAGACTCCATAGTTCTTTCTCTGGATGTGGATAGCATCTTCCATCATGAGACCTTTGGAGATGTCTTAGATCCTTGCATTGCTGAGAAAGGCTAAGTCTATCAAAGTTAATCATTGCAAAACATGGCTGTTACTGTGTACAGTGTTCTTCTGGTTCTGTTCACTTCATTCACCATCAGTTCACATAAATCTTTCCAGGTTTTTCTGAAGTCAGCCTGCTCATCATTTCTTATGGCACAATAATATTCCATTACATTCATATACCACAGCTTGTTCAGTCATTCCCCAATTGATGGGCATCCCCTCAATTTCCAACATCTTACACTGTATACTAAGATAAAGTCAAAATGGGTACCTGATTTAGATACAAAGGCTGATATTATAAGCAAATTAGGAGAGCAAGGAATAGTTTACCTGTCAGATTTATGGAGAACACAAGATTTTATAACCAAACGAGCAACAGAGAACGTTATGAAATGCAAAATGGATAACTTTGATTCTATTAAATCGAAAAGTTTTTGCACAAAACCAATGCAGCCAGTATTAGAAGGGAAGCAGAAAGCTGGGAAACAATTTCTCTGATAAAAGCCTCATTTCTAAAATACATAGCGAACTGAGTCAAATGTATAAGAGTACAATTCGTGCCCCAGTTGATAAATGGTCAAAGGATATGAACAGGCAGTTTTCAGAGGAAGAAATTAAAGCTATCTATAGTTATATGAAAAAATGTTCTAAACTACAATTGATTAGAGAAACACAAATTAAAACAATTCTCAGATACCATATCACACCTGTCAGATTGGCTAACATGACAAAACAGGAAAATGATAAACATTGGAAAAGATGTGGGAAAATTGGAACACTAACTAATGCATTGTTGGTGGAATTGTGAACTGAAGAGCAATTTGGAACTATGCCCAAAGGGCTATAAAACTGTGCATACCCATGAACCCAGCAATACCACCTCTAGGTCTGTATCCCAAAGAGATCATAAAAATGGGAAAAGGACCTACATGTACAAAAATATTTATAACAGCCCTTTTGTGGTAGCCAAGATGGGTTTAAATCCTGATATTTCTGACTCCAAAGTTTTGTGCTCTGGCCACTTCACAATGCTGCTTTCTTCATAGGAAGAAGACACTTCTATTAGAAAGAAAAAAAAAGCCAAGGTGGAGTTTCATAAACTAGTGATGAGAATAGCTTTAAGAAGAGCTGAGGGTGGGGCAGATAGGTGGTGCAGTGAATAGAGCTCGAGCCTTGGAGTCAGGAGGGCCTGAGTTCAAATCTAGCCTCAAGACATTTAATACTAGCTATGTGACCCTGGACAAGTCACTTAACCCCGATTACCTTACCAAAAAAAAAAAGTAGCTGAGGGAGGGGTTGGATCCATGGTCTTCATACCACATTCTAAATCTGTTACTAAAAATAAAGCCTTTTAGCTTTCATTGTTGTTGGTAGTGGTCAGTTGTTTCAGTAATGTCCGCTCTTCATGATTCCATTTGTAGTTTTCTTAGCAGAGATATTGGACTGGTTTACCATTTCCTTCTGCAGCTCATTTTACAGATGAGGAAACCAAGGCACACCAGGTTAGCTGACTTGCCCAGGGTCACGTAGTGAGTGAGTGTCTGAGTCCAGATTTGAACTCGGGTCCCGATTCCTGATTCCAGGCCCATAGCACTATCCACTTTGCCACTTACCTTTCAGTCAGCTCTTACTCAGAAGTTATAAGTAGACAACCCAGCCAGGATGGCTGGAGGTGGTCCTCCCAGCAGCATCAAGGTGCATTCCGAATGGATGTTAACGTTTGCAAAGTTCTTAATTTTCAACACGCCTTGTACAGTCTCGTCTGGAAGAATTATTGGTGCCTATTTTATGTTGCATTGGCTTTGTTTAGGCAAAAACTTTTCAATGGAATGTAACCAAAGTTATCCATCTGCATTTCATAATGTTCTCTAGCTCTTGTTTGGTCATAAAATCTTGTGTTCTCCATGTATCTCACAGGTAAACTATTCCTTGTCTCCTAATTTGATGCCCCCAGGGAGAAAGTAGCTTGCCCCAGAAGCAGCTTGTGGGGACAGCTAGATGGCGAAGTGGATAGAGCAACAGCCCTGCAGTCAGGAGGACCCGAGTTCAAGTCTGGCCTCAGACACTTGATACTTACTAGCTGTGTGACCCTGGGCAAGTCACTTAACCCCATTGCCTAAAAAAAAAAAAAAAAGAAGCAACAGCAGCCTGGGATAACTGAAGGGGAATAAGGTAACCGAGGGGAAGCCTCTTTTTTTCTTCTTTGTGTTGAAATGCATCACGTTTGTTGATGTTTGTTAATATCCAATAAATAAATAAATGATTTGAAAAAGAAGATGAAAGGCTTTCACTTCCCAAGATGATCTCTAAGGGACAGGTGGGCCTTCTGGGTCTAACTCCTATGACTGTAGGGGAGGCAGCATGCTGTGCTGGAAAGAACAATGGATTTGGGATCAGAGGACTGGGGTTCCAATCCCAGCTCACCCCTTTATGACCTGTGTGACCTTGGGTGGGCCACTTCATTGGTCTAGGCCTCAGTTTCCCTATCTGTAAAGAGGGGGGTTGTATTGGAGTCAGGGTTCAATACCAGGCCCAGGGCTCTTTCCCCAACACCAGGCCCCCTGATTTGGGCTTTTGAGATGGTGAATAAAAGAGCTCTCTTACCATCTGAGCAGAGAATGCAGACGTTCCCCTTCTGACCTGTAGCCACAGCTTTCTGATAAGACTGATCCTTGGTGTCTCCTCCTCCCCGTTCACATCCCTGCCAAATGGATGTTCCGGAGGAGCTATCTGACCGCACTCCTCCTCTGCTCAGAATCCACCCTGGCTCGTTACTGCTTTCTGGAGTGAAATGCGCCCTCCTTTTCCCGCCAGACATGGCCCGCCACCGTCCTTGCCTTTTCATCATCATCCCAGTTCTTCCCTGTTCGCCATCCCACGCCTGCCCATCTCCATTCATTAGACCTGCATGAGGCCTGAGGACCTCCCAATCACCAGTCTTCCCCCTGCCCCATCCTTGCCCTCCTTTACCTGTGGGGGGTTTGACTGCCCATCACGCCCTCTCCCTCCTAGAGATTCTCTTCCCTCCGTCTCTGAGAGTCCGTTCATCGCTGATTCTCCTCCTGCCTCTAACCCATCCCCTCCCTCCCTTGCTGGCTCACAGAATGAGGGTTATGAAGGACCTCCTATCATCCAGGATAATACATATCCCACTGGCCAGGAGCTCCCTGAAATCAGAGGCTGCCTTTTGCCTCTCTTTCTGTCCCCAGCACTCAGCACAGTGTCAGGCACACAGTTGGCACTTAATAAACGCGTGTTGACTGTCTGACTAGGCATCTCCTCAGTAACATCTCTAGTACGCAGTCAGTCAGCGGGCCCTCACTTGAGGCTGTCCACCGAAGACAGCCTCTGATCTCCTGTTCTACTTTGGGACAGCTCAGACTCTTAGGAAGTTTTTCCTTATTGAGAAGCTAACCCTGCCTTTCTGAAACTTAATAGAATAACACAATTTGAGAGATGGAAGGGGCGTCAGCAGCCTCCT